TTGATGAAAAAGTGCTTCCGGTGAGCTTTCTACCCGGAAAAGCTCACCGGAAGCACTTTTTTACCAAAAAAAGATGGTGGCGCCCAGCAACCAGCGGCCCGGTAAGACCGGTCCGCGGACCGGCGGTTGGGGACCCCTGCTATATACTATATTCATATTATAGTTAAATAATAATTATTTTTTCTTTCTTAAGCTGCTGTATTTAATGTATTTCTGTATTAAGCTCTTATATACCCTTATTGGCAGGTAACTGAAGAGGAGGCCCTTTACTTTGCTCGGGAGAACCAAATCCCCTACATGGAAGCCTCGGCAAAGGTCCGATTCAATGTGGATGAGTCTTTTTATGAGTTGGTCCGTGCCATCAGGTAAGAGGAAGGCAGTTGTGGTTGAAGCCAATGCTGTGAAAGAACTGAAAGTCCCCCAAACTGGGGAAAAAAATCTCTTTTATAGGACAGCATCCCTCAGAAAGGCTTTTTCTAATTAAATATTTGCTGCTTTCTTTCTTTCTTTCTTTTTCTTTCTTTCTTTCTTTCTTTCTTTCTTTCTTTCTTTCTTTCTTTCTTTCTTTCTTTCTTTCTTTCTTTCTTTCTTTCTCTTTCTTTCTTTCTTTCTTTCTTTCTTTCTCTTTCTTTCTTTCTTTCTTTCTTTCTTTCTTTCTTTCTTTCTTTCTTTCTCTTTTTTTCTTTCTTTCTTTCTTTCTTTCTTTCTAAATAGTTTAAAATTTGTCTTTCTGCTCACACTATTTTCAAAGTAGTTGACAGTAATTTAAAAAAAAATGAGCACAACTAAAATCAAGTCAAAATTACAAATGATACTGCTAAGATAAAATCAGTTTATTAGTTAGAAACTGGTGAAATAGATGGGTTTTCAATCTTCTCCTCAAAGCTGGGGGAGCTGAGATGAAGCATACACTCTTTGGGAAATATTCTTTCCCTCTCTTTCTAATATTCTATTCTCTGACTCTTCCTGCAGAGGTTGATTGGAACAGAAACCTGTTTGTTTGCTTGATGTTTGCTTATAAGGGCCTTTAAAATGTCAGATTGAAGACCACATGAAATTACTCTTGCTGTTAATTGACCTGATGCATGTACATTTTCCAATATTAGCTATTCTATATATTTTTATAGATTCAGATAGTGATCCATCAACTTACTTTTGTGATGCAGCTTTCTGCCTGATACTTCAGACTGTGGCTACATTTCAGCTGCCAAAATCCCAATTTGGGCCTGGGAAGCGCATATGGCTACTCAGTAAACATTCCAAAGAAGGAGGAATATGGAGTTTAAAGATCAAAACACTAACAATTGAGTTTTCTGCTATGAAATCTGTTAGCATGTGCTTTCTACAGCTAGTTCTTGATTTATGACTGGTCACTTAGTAGTTGTTCAGTGTCACAGCAGACCAAAATGAAAAGGTACTTATACTCAGCTTTGAAGCCCCCTTCACCTGGAATCATGTGATTGCATTTTAAGAGCTTGGCAATTGGCATGTATTTGTGGCCATTTGCAGTGTCCCATGGTCATGTGACTGTAAGTTCCTTTTTTTTTTTTTTTTTTGCCAACAACCATCATTTACTTTCAGTTCCCAGCAAAAAACACTCACAGTGGACTATAATTCACTCAACAACCATGGCTATTCACTTAATTTATTTAACAACCATGGTAATTTGCTTAACGATTATTGTAAAAAAGGTCATAAAATTGAGTTGGTCATGTGATGACTGTTTGATGACCAGCATAACTAATGACCATAATTAAGGGCTGAATTACAGTCATAAATTAAGGACTACCTGTATTTAGAATTGTATCATTCAGCAAGAATCATTGAGGAGTATTGGCTACCATTTCTGGAATCACAAGCTAAAGATTTGAATTTTTTGTTTGGTCTGCAATAAAGGGCCATCCAGAGTAGTGAGTGGATGAGAGTGATTTTGGTTGTACTCCAGCCAGCACTTTCCTGGAACCTCACAGTATAGTCCAAAGGAACAGTCATCATCTGTTGGATGCCCAAAGCATTAGTATACTGTTTCCGACTATACAACCTCCTGGGTAGTATACAGCAATTGCCCCCCTCCAGGGATATAAATATTTTTTTTCAAGTGGTGCTTATCTTATGTAAGAACTTTCCCACAAAGTAATATGATACAGCGTGCACTATTTAACGCTTTTCTTCCTTTGCTCACTCCAATTTTCTTTTTTTATGGCAGGAGGTTTCATGAGTTAGAATCTCCCCCTGCCCCAGCCTTTCACCCCAAAAAGAAGGACCGCAAAAGCTGCCCTTGTTCCATTCTGTAAACTGCCATCCTACATCAAGCCACACAGCCTGGAAGAGGAGAGGCTCAGATTCCTTCCAACCAAGAAGATAGAGCAGGATTTTCCTCGTTCCATCTCTCCTACTACAATTAGGGCTGGCACTGTGCATTTTTTACTTACACAAATGTATTACCATTTTTCTCTTGTTGCATAGGAGTCTGTAAACTGAGAACGAAGCAGGGAATAGACACGTTCTTCTCTTCCAACATATCCTGAATCTATGGGTTATGCATTCAGTTTTGTATGCTATTTTGCCCTCCTTTGTTCTTTCATGGAAATCGCTTTAAAGGTGCCCCTTTTTGCCAAGGGGCAGAAAATCTATTCAGTTAGATAAAAGGGGTACAGGGTTGTAAATTTCAGTGGCAGTCCACTGATAAAATGAATTGAAGAATCGGAATCAACTGCAAAGGATCATTTATTTCACTGCAGCTAAGGACAAGCTTTTGCACATACATTGATATCTACATATTGAAAGACATGGTACAAATGCATTTTAAAAGGTACTATAATTTTTCTATTCCTTTTTTTAAAACCATAGCTTACAGACTTAAGCCACACTTTGGCCAAACTGCAAGGGAAGCAGCTGCAGACACAATTGTCTTGCAAGTTGCCAGTATTGACTTTTTTTTGTTCCTGAAGCTGGACTAAAAAAGCAGCACACTTTATAGCAGCGTTTTTCAAACTTAACAACTTTAAGATGTGTAGACTTCAATTTTCAGAATGTGTGGATCTCTATTCCCAGAAGAAGTCCCCAGCTAGCAGCTGAAGTCTTCGAGTTGCCAAGTTTGAAAAACAATGCTTTATAGGAAGGAGTTTTGCAAAGTCTGAGGGAAAGGGGGAAGCTAGCCAACTCTTTGATTTTTTTAACAGAAGATTGTGATAGCTCTCACAATATGGTTGCCATATTGTGAGAGTCACATAGTCACAAAGCAGTTACTGTGATAGGTATGGCCAATTACAAAATACAGCATTGTTTAGTAACCACAATTTGTTGCAGAAAAATGGTCGCCGAGCAAAATGATAACTAAGTGAACCACGGGACATAGAGAAATGCTGCAAAGATCACTCATTCTATCTCATTCAGAAAAAAAAGTTCTCTTGTACAGCACTGCCGGCATTACTCTCCAGCGTGCATCATTGTCAGTGCATAAATTTGATCATGTGTGTGCACGTGGGTCAGAAAATGATGTTTTTTTTACTACTGATTATTACTGTCAAATTTGTGAGCAGTCATTAACTGCAGCCTAAACAAGAACTGACTATTGCCATCAGGCCAATAAATGGTGATGCTTCCTGCAGAACCATTTACTATAGCAGGTTCTCAACATTCTACTACCCTAGCTTAAGTTTTAAGATGGTGAAGGTTCAAAACCTTAAATGCATGCTAGAATCAAGTTTCTGTTTTGTAAATTGCTCAGTTCAAAAATTACTCTGTTAAAGACAGGGCCAGCTTTTGTTAAATTCATCCTTTCTTCCCCACTTCTGTAATGTGTTTATAAGGGAAAGTGATGTCAAGAACTTTTTTTTTTAAATAGCAACTCCTTGTGTTAGTAATTTTTCTTCTTAGTAGGGGTTCCCAACATCTTTAGAGATAACTATCATATTGAAGTTATACCATCATTATTGAAGCATCAATACTGCAGCTGCATGTTTAATTGGATGATTTTTGCCAAAGGATCCCTTGCTCTCTTGCACGCCGTTCCAACACTTCCATCTATCACTTCAATTGTCTAATTCTTCCTTCATCCATCACCTTCCACAGACCTCAGATATGTTAAGATTACAATTCTCAGATGGTATTAGGGTGGGATAGTGGTTAACATGTTCAATCTGGATCTCTTTGGTCATGGTTATAGAAACTTGCTGGGTCACTTGCTACCTCCCAGTCATCCTTATTCTACCAGTAAGGAGATATGGGAAAAATGAAGGGGAAAATGTTAGGCCTTGGACAATATTCGAGATACAGAAAACATTCTCACCAAGCAAGGCCACGTGCATAACTTGATAAGGTATCATGAGAGACAGGCTTCACTTATGTATCTACTGATGCTCCCAGAATATAAATATTTTGCAGTTTATAAAATGAGTGGATGTATTGAATGTCAAGACTATAAGTATCTTGTTTTCTATTCTTCTACCATGCCGCAGAGCATGGCATTCCAGCTATAAACACCAAAGAGTCTCTTGAGCAAAGATTATATAGTAAAGCCTGGGGTTTCCCCCTTAATTACTTAATTAAACTGATATGCCCTCATAGACTAGAGCCTCTTTATTAATTTACAAGGCTACAGTTACAAAAATGTGCTATAGTGCCAAAACGAACTCACAAGGCACTATGGATATTTTAAATTTCTAAAGGAAGCAGTGACATTTAACTCAGTGTAATGTAAAATATCCCATAGTATCCTTGTAAATGTGCTGTTTCTATTAAGGCAATGATTCTGAAATGGCACTGGACCAAGAAAGTTTGGGAACTTCTGGTACAAAGTGTTATTCTAAGGCCAAAAGGAGCATGCATACATATGTGTGCACTTAGGCATGACACAACAGTGAAACTAAAAACTTATTAAATGATAAAATGGCCATAGCTTGTGAATGTATGATTTAACCATAATTTTAATAAACGGGAAACATTCTCATTATCAGTGTGTAATTTTACTGTGGTGGTACATAACAAGCACATACAAAAGCGCAACACACTAGGCTAAGGAAGCTGATATACTAAGCCACAATAGAGTTTTATTTGCTTGATCACAGCTTATTGTGTGAAAAAAGTACATCCTATATGAACTTGGTCAATCTTGTAGTGTTAACTCTACAAAGCACTAACTTGTCCAACAAGTAGGAATCTTTCTGAAGAAGAGGTGTGGGATTGGGGACCTTGAGAAATTTCTGGGCCTGTTCCCTTTGTGAGGGAGGCTTATGGCCTGTTCCCTTTGTGTTCCCAGGTGAGGCTTATGGCCAATAAAAGGTTGCCATTTCTCATCTCCATCAGCTTTTATATGATACTTTGACAAACTCTTCGGTAGAACAAATTTCCCCATCTTAAAAAAATGGGGCAGGGTACTTTTTAAAAAATGCATACTTCTGTTATCTTATACTACATGTATGTGTATGTTTAATTATATGGAGAATGCTATATATTTTATAATTGAATTGCCTGAGAGACATTTAACATGTCTGCATGAAATGAAACACAGTATGCACTTTTATATACAGAAAGCTTGGGTGGGGGAAAATTTTGGAAATGTAAAATTTATAGTATATTAAAAAGTATTTGTAATGACCCAGTATGAATTAACATGGAGAATTAAATGTGTTCTTTACTAATCAGTCCGGAAGTTCAGTATTAGTGTTTAGTGATTTATGATAGCCCCGGAGATATAATCATAAAACTGTAATTTCTCCCAGATTAAAAAAAAATGCTTTCTGCAATCTGGAACAAGTTTCTAATTTCCGCACAATCTTTACAAATCTTGATTTTCTTGAGCAATGATCAATTGGCATCTTAGTAGTGGAGTTGTGTAGAAGTTACATAAGGTCATTTTGTTTTAATTTGTGTATACAATGTGAGTTTTACATATTGAGAAAAAAACAGTAAATTGTAGCAGTCATTAAGGTATCATTTAACTGGACCTAATTTTTCAATGATTTTTTGCTGCAGTCATTAATACCCCAATTTTTAAGTGAATCCCTCCCCCCCCCCGGTGATTTTTATGTGAAATTGGAAATGCCAGAAACCAACCAAAAATATCATAAATTGTGGTCATGTGACTGCAGGATACTACAAAAGGCTGTAAAGGCGAACTGGTTGCCAAATGGATAAAATATGTGCAAGTGACCATACCGAGGGGCAGAGTTGTGGCCATCACAATTTTGAGAAAAGGGCAGAAGTAGTTTTTTTTTTGGGAAGATCTGTTGTAACTTCAATGGTCATTATACAACCAGTTATAAATCGAGGACTAGATTTATACAAAGTATCCATGAAGCTACCACTGGCAATAGAATTTTCTAACATATTCTGACCAATGAGAGGTGCCTTTGAAATTGACCCTCAGAAAATACACAGAATAGCACCAATAGAAAATACATAGAAGATGACCAAAGAAAGTTTATGATGTTTTGTTAACACTATTGGAAAGATTGTCTCTGAGCTACATAGGGGTTTTCTAGTTTGTGTAACTAAAATGGCACTGCTATTCTGCATGGCAGGTGCAGCTCTTGAAATGATGGTATGGATAATCTTCCACCTGATAGGAAAGTCCAGTAAATAAAAAGTAGAATCAGGAATATGTTTCTAATACCCTTTAAGGATTGCACACGAGGAAAACATTAAGCAAGGGATTATGTAAACTTCAGATTATGGATGAAACCATCCAGATGTTGAGACTAAGAGCCAGTGTTTCATGCTTCAATGGGAAAAAAAACAGATTTAGGCAGGTTTCCCCCCATCATTATTTTAGGATGCTACTGCCCTCCTTTTTCCCATGGCCACCCAAGTCTCAACCAAATGAACAAAACTCTGCTTCAGGCAATTGATTTTTGCAAAGAAAAGTGTTTTTTTGTCATTTTGTTGTGTACACAGTATACAATGTGAGTTTTACATATTGAGAGAAAAAAACGTCTCAGACACTAATAATAAACAATAAAAATATATAGGAACATCCAATAATACAGAACACAAATCCCATATCTCAGAACAATACCCTTGAGGCGCGAACAAGATACACAGAAATACACGTCGTAAAAAAGGGGGCCTTTCAAGATCCAAATATAAGGGTAGGTGGCGGAGGAGGAAAGTCTCTTTTGTCACAGGAAATTGAGCTGTACATGTCTGTGTGTGTGTGTGTGTGTGTGTTGCACTTGTCCTTGATCAACTCACGAGCTGGACCGGTCCAATTCTGAGAGCTCTAGTTTGGCTACTCTGTCCCTCCAACTGGGTGTGATGGTTTAGCAAGGTTCTGCATGGAATTGATGGTGCAGGCGTATTGTCCCAAGAAGTGCCAAGGCTCTACGTCCGTCTAAAATTAACCCTGTAATATGAAAGATTCCCCCAACTTTATTCTCTCATTCCCCCAAACCCATGTTTAGCTAATCCCATTTCCACACTCGGCTACCTGTCACAATCCATCACTTCTAAGGCCAACAGCTACCAATAACTCAGTTTATCAGGGAAAGATGATTTTTTTAAAAAATCAAAATACTCAAACCAGGCCACTCTCCCCTTTAAAACCTTTGCTTAGGGCCCATTTACCAGATTCCATCTCTCCCCTCAGCCATGCATACTTACTGTACATACACACTTGCCAACTTTGCCTTTTCATCCACAATAAATAAGGAGGGGAGAAGGAGACAAAATGAGACCCAAGAGTAACTGAGTACATACATTGGGGACACTGACCTAAGCAACCAAACAAGTCTTAATACATTTCTGTGTTTGCTGATTCAGGGAGAGATTTGTTTGAAGTAGGTCTTTATGATGAGAAGACCAATTCTGAGGTGGAATTTATTTATCCACTATCCTTGAAGTACCTTTTCACATCTTCCCCCTTGATACCCAAAATTGGAAAAGAAAAAATAGTGGAGCAATTTCCGTAACGCCTGTTGATTTGGGTTGGCAGAAAAAAAAACCCACAAGTTTTGGAAAGATCAAAGTTCTTCTAAGAACAGAAGGACAATTCAAATGGAGGAATGTTTAATGATGAAGGAGGAACACAGCTTTAGAGATGGGCTAGGAATAAAGGATGATTTGATGGGGGAAGGGAAGTCAAATTCATTCATTCATTCAATTTATACAGCCGCCCACCTCAAACAAGTGACTAGGTATGAAAGAGGGAGAAACAGCAATGGAGGAAGAATGAGGTAGACTTTAGCAAGAAGACGGGAATCTGACATAGGAAGATCTACATTCAAGTAAGGGATTGCTTTGGGAGGTTAGAGGAAGAACTGGGGTGAGGAATGCTAATGGTTGGCCAAAGTGTGTGTTTGATGTACTGGTAGTCCTTGATTTATGATTCATTTACTGACCGTTCAAAGTTACAACGGCACTGAAAAAAATGACTTGTTACTGTTTTTCACACTTATGACTGTTGTAGGATCTCCATGGTCACGTGATCAAAATTCAGGTGCTTGGCAACTGGCATGCATTTTTGACAATTGCACTGTCCCAGGGAGGCATGTGATCACCATGTGTAACCTTTCCAGCTGGCTTCCAACAAGCAAATCAAAGGGGGAAGTCAGATTTACTTAACGACCACATGATTCACTTAACTCTGCAATGATTCACTTAACAATTGTGGCAAAAAAGGTCACAACATAGGGCACAACTCACTTAATGACTGCCTTGCTTAGCAACAGAAATTCTGGGTTCAGCTGTGGTCGTTAAGTCAAGAGGGATCTGTAATGGGAAAGATTACTTGTCATGGGAGGGGGGAACAGACACACATAAGATAATGGATAGCTGGTTGAGGGATGGAGAGCCCACTTGGGAATTGAAGAAAGGGCAATTAAGACAAGATCTTCATCCTCTGACTCATTAGAGTTTATTTTATCATTTCAGTTTAGGGTTGGAGAGGGAGTTTTGTTTTGGAGGCAGATTGGGGTGGGGGACATAAAATTTCCTTTCCCCCCCTCAGTAACAACAATGATAAAAAAATTAACAACCTCCTAATGAAAGTTTCAGTCGAAACCAAGAACATCACAGCTACAGGTGAAAAGAGAGAGAGGGAGGGAGGGAGGGAGAGAGAGAGAGAGAGAGGAGAGAGAGAGAGGAGAGAGAGAGAGAGACTCCTGCGCATCATTAAGTTCAAGTTAGTCAAATACAATATGATACATAGACTTTTTTTTATCCTATACAGTATATACAGGTGCAGGGAGGAGGGAGGAGAATCCTGCCTTCTCGGACACTGTAATATGGGGAGAATGGGGGAAAAAATTATCCCTCCCTCAAAGAAGTGCAGATCTACCACTGGGGAAGGGACTTATCTAAAGTCCTTTGTACAATTCCTCCCATGATTCAAGGGGGGCTTATTGTGAAATCTGGGGGGGGGGGGGGGGGGGGGAATTTCATAAGTTTTGCTACAGTCTAGGCAGGTTGCTGTGGATGTCACAAGGTTCTCCCCTGCCCATATACTGCTCTCTATTCAGAAAGTGGAGGGAAAGTTCCGCATACCCAAATGAGCTAGAATTCCCAATTCAATGGCAAAAAAGTGAATCTTCCAGCAGCAATTGCCCCATGAAAACACAAAGGGAGGCAGGGAGGGAAAGGGAGGTTTCTCCAGAAAGAGAGAAAATTGGTGCTACCAATTATAATTGGGAACAAGGAGCTTGGCAATAAATATTCCTATTAGAAGCAAAAATAGAAGTGATCGCTATTAGTGTACGGATGGATGGCTTCCCTTCACTCCAGACAACCGTTATTTGGCAGAGATGGAATTAGAGTTGTTGGAGAATAGGGGTCATACTTCCTGATTAGACTATGGATAAAAGAAGCTAGACACTGTATAAAGGGTGGCCAATGCACCACCTCCCCACGCTCAATTCTCAACTCTCCCTAAGGAGAAGTAAAGTTCTTGATGGAAGAGATGGAGGGTAGAACTCCAGGAGAACCTGGTCCTTCTCTTTTCACCAATCTTACTACTGTCAACTCACTCCGCGGTGAGAAACCAAGAAGCCTTTCGACTCTAAATCACACCACACTACCATTCCTATGACTTTCCTTAAGAGTTCCCCTATTCTCAATCCCCTCCTGAGCAGGGAGCAAGGCTGTTCAATTAGATATTTATACATTTATATATATAAATAATATTTCTCTGTACAGCCAGGGCAAAAGGGAAAAGGGTGTTCCAACCATCCAATTATTTGATGAGAACCCTCTTCAACGTGTCCTGTCTGCCATAGCAAACCTCCACCTTCCACCACCATAGCAGAGGCCTGTCCTGTGTCCTGATTAAGGAAAAGAGAAACCCCCAAGGAGAAGGGGGAGTGGTGGTGGTGGTGAGAGCTGAGTCTGAACTCGTTGCCTGTAATGATACCCCTCGACTTTCCTCTCCCCACTTCCTGCTCTGGCTCTGCAGAGGGACAGGCGTTAGGCGGCCCCTCCTGGGGCGTAGCTCTGATGACGGTGTCACGCACATTTGCTTTGCGCCTGAGTCAGCAACTCACTGAAGGAGTCAAAGAGTTTCTCCAACCATGGCTGGTTGCGCATGCACTGCTGCACCACCTCCTCCTGGCCCAAATCTTCGTCTTGACCCTCAATTGCCGTTGTCTAGAAAAGAGAAATGAAAAGGTTAAAAAAATGAGTCATGAAGTACGAAAATAGCTAAAAGAAATAAATAAATAACCACAATATGGATTTTCTTAAAAAAAGAAATAATTTTGATGGAGATGTAGAGGAAGACATCTTCATTTAAGAACATCCATACTGTGATTATTTTTAAATTTTTTTGGTATTTTTTTTAGTCTTTTTTTTTTTTTGTATTTTATTTTATTGTTGTGAGCCACTGAGAGTCAGTTAAAATTAGGTGACTCTGACCACCATTAGCCTTAACAAAATCAACATCAATCAATTGCAAAGGGCAGCTTTACTTGGAACAGTTTAGTTTGTGTCATGATACCTTTAACACATTAAACAACATGTGCCCCACACCTACCCTAAGCCCTTGAGAAGGTTGCAACAATTAGGTTAAAATGTCAAATTTCGTTAATAATAAAATGAAGATACTAAAGTGCTCTGGGACATCAGAAATCAACACAGATAAGCACCAGCCACTAATATTTAACACCCATTGATAAGAAAGACAAAATAGTCTAGATAGTGGATATTGTAGTACCTATTCTGGAGACAGCAGAATAGAAGAGAGAGAGAAACTGGAGAAAATAATAAAACACGAAAACCTTCAAACAAAAGTAGAACAACTGGGGCAAAAGAGAGCAAAAATACTCCCAATAGTAATAGGCATCCTGGATGCAATCACAAAACAACTAGAGTACCACCTGAACACCACTGGCATTGATAAAAATCACCGAATCATACTTTTGGCCATGCACTCTTCCTCAGCAAAACCTATGTCCCAGAGTTGTGGAAAAAAAATGAGAGGAACTATGCGTGCTTGCCTTGAGCTCCTGAATGAAAAGACAGGATATAAATCTAACAAACAACTTGCAAACCCAAATAGGGCTTTTCTTACCTCATCTTTGCAACGCAGAAAGGTATGGTATTTGTAGTGGTGAAGGGAATGGTACAGAGTATAGAAAAATGACTTCTCCACTTCCACACTGAATTCCTGTCAACAGTAAGGACAAAGTGTGAAGGGAAACTACCTCGTTGCATTTCTCAGCAACTTTACATTAGCCATAAACTTCTAAGGTTGTATATTCAATATTTTGTCTCAATGATTAATTTTTAAAAAATCTAGGAAGTTTTTACCAGCCCTCTTCTCTTCTCTTTTCAGCTTTTGTTAAACTAAGAAAGTTAAAATCCTTTGATGCCTGTTGAATGGATCCATTCTCATCTCAATACCTGGAACTTTGATAGGGCAAATAAATGGGCCTGGTCTTTCTATGAAGGAGAATGAGTTAGAGGAATGAAGCTGCAAAATCAGATCTTTAATGGACAATGCTATTTCAGAATGCCAGATCCAGAGGAAGAGATGAAAAATGCCATTGTAAAGTCAATTTTACAATGTTTCAACTTTTCCCTATCTCTCCCCCATCCCTGCCCTTTGGACTGCCCTGCATTCTGCCATCCTGGCACCCCACACTACCCTCAGCTGACCTCAGCCTTCTTCCTTCCACTGCTAACAAGGCATGCCCAAGGTGTCATAGTTTTGTGGCAGCCTGTCGAAGGACCATCGGCAGCATTATCTGGGTGCATCTCAGCAACAGTGGAGAAGAAGACAGTGAAGGTCAGCTGGTACCAGTGAGGAGCAGCAAAGGTAGCAGTGGCAATGGGTTGCAGGTCAGTCAAGAGGACAGTGATAGAAGGGAGATAGCCAGGTGCAGGAAGTTGGGAGTGGAAATTAATGAACACAGGGTAAGAGACATCTCGAAGGTATAGACAAAACATGGTGAAATAAACTGGCTCCACGTTTATCAAGGAATTTGACAAGGTTGCATACTCTCTCTTATTTGTTTAATCTTTATGCTGAGTATATATTAAGAGAATTCGCAGTAGATGAGCATGGTTTTAAAACTGGAGAAAGAAGTGTCAATAACTTGCATTATGCTAAGGACACTACCCTGTAAGCCCAAGTGCAAAGGACTTGCAAGTCCCAGTGTAAATAGTGAAAGAGCACAGTAGAAGAAATGGGATTAAAATTAAATATAAAGAAGATGAAACTAATGATAACGAGTACATCCATCAGCCTCAGAACTGACAATGACTTGATAAAAAGCGCCCACAAAACAGACCTAAAACAAGATGGATCAATGACATCAGCAAGTATTGCGGGCTCAACTGGCAAAGGGAAGCTCAAAACCATACTGGTTGGAAATATGCAGAAAAGGCCTTCATCTTGCAGTGGACAGAATGATGATGATGATGATTTGCCCCAGGAGCTAGGTGTTGGGTGAAGTTAATTTTTAACTGTTCTCTTAGGGGCTTTTGATAAGATTGACTGACTGATGGAGTTGGGCCTCAGACAAGATTGTTTTCAATGGTTCCAGCCTTCCTTCTTAGGATAAGCTCAGGAAACATTGCTTGGAATAATAATAAAGCACTTATACCACAGTCATGTGACAATGTTTCATTTTTCCCCACAGACTGCTAGAAAGAGATAATCTCCTTTTGGAATGAAGCACTTTCAGAATATTTTTCTTGTTTCTTGGTACTCAAGCACCAGAAAAATAGTTGATTGCCTAAATTCAAAAGAAGGCAGGTGAAGCTAAACAAGTTGGTGTCAAATATAGATATGCCTGGATATCTTTCCTGTTTGGACCACCACAAAAACCTGACAGTAATCACATTCAAATCACTCCTCAGTCATGAAATTCTCTTTAATGCCCAATGGATCTATTGTTCACCTTGTAATTTGTGGGTGTATAGAAGATGAACACATTTTTCTTACCTTGAGCTCTCTGATGGAAAAGAGACAAAAGTAATCAATGAAAATGAGTAAGTTTACCAGAGCCTGCCCACCATCTTAATCTGCAACACTTACCTGTGGTTTGGATACATTCTTCTTGAGTTTGTTGAGAGTCTTGCGGTTGTAAGGTTCACCACCTGGGCGCAACTTAACTGTGGTATCACATGTCTCAGCATGGAGTTGGGGGAACATGTGGAGTGCCTCCTGAATGGAGAAGAAATGTATGAGAAGAAGAAGCGTCTTCATAATCTCCATCTGTCGGGTCATTTATTTCCATTTTCAACTGTTACAAAACCCCAGGATTTTAGGAATTAGACAAATCATATATTTAAAAATGTATAGAAATGGGGACATCCTCAAATAATAGAGTTGGGTAGTTCATTGGAAAGACTTCAGAGACAACAAATTAGAGGTAAAGGGAGAATTATTGCTCTCTGTATAACATAGGACTTTCCTTGAAACGGATAGGAGCATCATTATTAAACAGAATGCTCATTTATTAGAAAAATTGAACTTAAGCCTACTCAAGCAGCCAACCATAGTACAAGATCCTGAAAATCATGTAATGCTTTCAATCCAATATGCACTGAATGTCCATAGCCTGGGCAATGTGACACCGAAGAAACCTCTTTCCCCCCAGTATTTGAAGATCTTGTTTCACAAACCGTTTTAAGCAGAATGGGGAGAAATGGCTTTTTTTAGCCAGCTCAGGTGTGATCATTCCAATAAGGCATACAGGTAGCCCTCGTTTAGCAACCACAATTGGGACTTGCAACCTGACTGTTAAGTAACATGGTTGCTAAGTGATACCTATGATCATGAGATTATTTCAGCTTTCCTTTGCTTCAGACTTGCAAAGGTCATAAATGTGATGATTGGCTGTAAAGTTTCCTAACCGACGTTAATTGCAGCAGTTGCTAATTGATAATTTAGCAGTTGCATGTATAAATTGCCTTCCCAATAGGATACATGCAAAGTTAAATATGACTTTCACTACATATTACTAATACACAAAAAAGATGGAATAATCAATCTCTCCTGTTTATGGTAAAATTTTGTAAAAAATCTCTATGGCTAAGAGTACACTATAAATAAAAAATATTAAAGAACTGGCCAGCAAAGTAATTCTAAATACCATCAATAGATCTTCATAATAAAATCCCCCCTTCCCCCCAATATGCCTGAAATTCATGACGTACGGTAAATTTCATTGAGATTTTTGTAGGATAGGATAACTGAAATCTTGTCCAATGAATTAAGCGGAATTTCACTCCAATTTCTTTAAAAATGCCAATGTAAATTTCTGGCATGCCTACCAACTCTAAAAAGACCATAGAAATATTTTATGAGTTGACTGCTGGAATCCTGACACATATATAATTGAATAATATCAACCCCACCTGAAAAAAGCTGTTGATTTATGAATTGATGATCGCACTGCAAAGCCATTTAGATGGCTAGTGCAGCTGAAATGTCCAAGGCTCATTTCAAACGTAGTTTTTATAATTATATATAGAGCAGGATTCAGCAGTCCCTCAGGCCTGCTAGTCGAGGGCTTGGATTCTTAACCTTCCTGAATATGTTATAAACGTTTTGGTCTTCAAGGCCTCTCCTTGCTCCCCATTGTTGTTGTGATGGCGAATGAGAAGGAAATATGTGAGCCAAATCTTGGCAACAAAGCAAAATATATACTTAAAATAAATACTCTTTTTTCAAAAATCAGTCTTTGGAGAACAGCAGAGTCTACTACTGCCCTCTTTCTGTACCTGTAGCGATGGATTCAGGGACACTCTCTTCAGCACCTTTTTCTTATGATCGTTCAAAATCCCATCAATTTTCCTCATGGGCGGGAGATAAAGTTCATCTGGGATAAGATTGTCAAAACAGATGGCAAAGGTCACCAAAAAAAGAAAGAAAGAAAAAAAACCCATCCAGGATGGGCAGGGACAGGAAACTTGCAATACAGGACATAGGCAGCCAGTGTACTGCACTAAGGAAACCCAGTTGCAATGGACTGAGTTCTAGATAAGCAAGTGAAAGGAAGACAACAAGGTTTCAAATGCCACGAAGAGGTTGGAATTTTTCAGGCAGGACCAGATTTTCCAAAATGCTACATGTTATGAATAAGCATTTGTTTAAAGACTACTCTAGCCCTAAGAAAACAATTCAGGCACTTTTTGGCAGGAGGGGAGTTTATTAGGCTTCAGCAGGCAAAACTGAAGCACTGTTAAGACTCACTCCTGCTTCGCCTGGAGAAGCATAAAATTTGCATATGCAAAGCAAGGAACGAACACTAGAGAGCTTTTTGAACAATGGTTAAACCCAAAGCTCTTGACATCTGTCAAAGACATCTGCCAATTACAAGGAGAGTTTTCTTTATTATTTACTTTTTATTTAGTTTTACACATTATTTCATTTCTCATTTTAAATGCTGTGGGATTACAAAATTTGAGAATCCCCTCCTCCAACCAGCTCTTCATATCTTTGTGTAATACAAATGACTGCCAGAAAGGAGTATAATGAAACGTTCAGTGGTGTTCCATAGTCACAACCGATTAACGCTGGGAAGTTATATGGCATTTTGCAAATCACGCCTCTTAAAAAGAATGTGGAGATGTTTATAGTTTCTTTTAAAAAAACAACAACAGTATATTTCTAGTTCTTATAATGGCAAGATAGAACAAGGCTGTATACACTCGGCCAATTCTGGCCCCAGGAATTTCATAAGCCAAGAATAGCTAGGGAACAAAAAGCTTTTATATTTCCAGAAGGCTAGCCACAATCAAGAAAAAAATTCCAGCAAAGTGAAGGGGCTACATAGTTCCTAAAGAATGGCCTGTGGAAACAAAAGCCGGTGGCATTTAAAGGTGGCCCATGAGCCCGTCTAAGCACCTCTACACAAGAATGCTCACCGTTTGTGTCTTCAAGAGCTTGGATCATGTCTGGGTCAAGGGCAGTGCTGACCAGCATTTCCACGTAACTGCGGTACATCTCCTTCATGGCTCTTGTATTGAGAATGCGGCCTGTGGGCAGACGCTCTAAATGGGAAACAGAGCATTATTTTCTTATGGTAGACATCTGTAGCCCTGCTTTTCAAATAGATTCAGAATAGGTTAATAAGCAAAGAAATGGAGAATAATGTAAGATTATATTAGTTTTTTTTCAAGCTTGACAACTTTAAAATATGTTGACTTCAATTCCCCGAATTCCCTAGCCAGCATGCTGGTTGGAGAATTATGGGAGTGGATGTCTGCATATATTTAATATGCCAAAGCTGAGAAGAACTGGATTATACATACAGTACAACCGAAACTAGGATGGGGAGAGAGGGAAAAGTCGTTATTTCCTCAACCCCTCTAGAAGTGCCTATAATCCCTCACTTTGGTAGACAGGGCTAACTCTAATCCTAACCCTTCTTTCTACTCCCTATATCAGCCTTCCATAATTTATCTCAGTCTAACTTTTATGTTTAATGACAAGATCCCTTTCACAGGCTCCCAGAGAACCAGTGGCCTTTCAAAAATGGCTGTATCACAATTCCCAGGACTGGAACTGCTGGATCTAATTTGGATCATATAGAGGGCTTCAGATTCTCCATCCTTGTCAATTTACACTTTCTCTTTTGATCTTTGCTTTGCCACATTTCTTGCCTTCCCAGGTTCTTGGCAGTTCATTTCTTAACTGCCTGGTCATGACGCTTGTCAAACTGGGGGTGTTTCTCCCTCCACCACTACCACCACCCCCCGCCCTGCTACTCACCCTCCTCACTCTGCTGGTCAGGGCTGGAATCTGAGTCTGAAGAAGATGCTGCTTCCTTGAGCCATTTTTTCCTCTTCTTGGGGGGTGGTTCAGCTTTCACCTTGGCCGGCTTCATAGACTTGGGTTTAGAAGCTCCCCCAGCTGGGGCAGCTTTTGTCAGCATGGGCACAGGAGGTTCTACTTTTTCTGCTCTGGGAGGCTTCTCTGCCTTGGCCAATTTCTCTGCTTTGGTGGGCTTCTCAGACTTCTCCACCTTGGGGGCCTTTTCTGGCTTAGGCCCTTTTTCCATTTTGGGAGGCTTCTCCGTTTTGTCCACCTTTTCGGCAGCCTTGGGGAGCTTCTCAGCCTTAATAAGCTTTTCGGGTTTCTCAACTCTCTCCGGGACTTCCAGCTTCTCGGGTTTTTCAACTTTGGGTGTCACTGGAACCTTGGGGGTAGAAGCCTTGGGCTGGCTTTGTCTCCTGCACCAGAAAAACAGAGCACTAAGAGCTGTCTTGAGAGGTCAGGTTCATGGCAGCAGGAGAGTTTGAGTGAAATATGAAGAAATAGTGTAAGTCAGTGAAACAGTGGGGCTCTGGAAATCTTTATATCAACAAAACAAAAGTTCAGGCTGTCTAATCTAATTCACTGTTCAAGATGGATCAGAGGCGATGATGGGTGTTACAAGGGAAAGGATCCCCGGAAAAGTATGAACTGGTGAGGGAAGGAAAGGCACGCAGTCCCACCCCCTTTAACTTTTTACTCTAAGATTAAGCAGGACAGAAAAAGAAAAAGAGAAAAGAGGCCGAGCCCTTTTACCCCCTAAGCTGGAAGAGGGAAAAGGGAGCCAATCATCCCCATGTGCGAGGTGACATAACTGAGAATTAAAAAATGAGAAAAGTTTCTTGTATGGAAGTCACCTAGATAATTACACACACACACACACACACACCTTCAACTGGAACTGGACTTCCCTTACATATTTCCCCCTTCCTAATTCTTTACCTGACAGCTTGCAGAGGCCGGTGCCAGGGTTTCTTGGAACAGACACGGACATAATCTTTCTTGTTGATATTCTCCAAGAATTTAACATAGAGTCGTTGGTAACGGTTCTTGGCATCGCCAAAATAGCCCAGATACTGAGGGATGAAGCAGGAAAATAAAGAATTGAATAGAGAAAAGAAAAGGGGAGGGGAGACCATCCCACTTGTAACTTTTCTTCTGGAAGTAATGAGGGAACAAGTGGAACTGGAATTGAAGTCCTTTGCCCAACACAATAATAGATCAAGCTAATTGCTCAACTTGACTATCCCAAGAAGAAAACTGGGTGGGTGGGGGGAACAGTTATTCTTTTATTAACAGGCCAACAGAAGTACTTCTGCATTGGCTTGACCCTGCGCTACCATCATGGCAGAAGCATACCGAGAAAGGGAGGGGGAGCAAAAGAAAGAATGAGAACAGGGCTTAAAGCTTGACTTTAATTTATTGATTTTGTATATGATCATGTTGGTGAGATCCCTTCATTTCTGAAGCTCTGGCTTCCCTGAGATATGACGCTACTTAAGTAGATGGAGTGGAAACTCACATTGCTGGTTGCACAGAACTGACGCTGCCCATCCTTGATTTCAGGTGTAAACTTCTGAAGCAAAGCTTTCTGTACTCGCCAGATTGGAGGTGGTTCCCGTCCAGTCTGAAGTGCAAGCTACAAAAGGACAAAGGAGTAGTTACAATGATGTCAAGTATTAAACAACTAATAAGCTCAACTACTGTCTTCTGGCCAATATTCTCTAACAGAAGAGAATTTCATGAAAGGACAACAAAGAGCTCCCAGAGTTAGTGCATTTCTTCACAATTTATTCTTCTGTATGAGGCTATTAGTGATGGGCTAACTTGATTCATTACGTCTGCCTGCCTGCCTGCCTACCTACCTACCTACCTACCTACCTACCTATCTATCATACAATAGTTGTCATCAACCATCCAATACCATTTTAAAAGCAAAGTAACTTTGGGGAGTTACAAGTAATTTTGGAGAAATAAATGAACTTTTAAAGTTGCATGTAGAACTAAGACAGTCATATATAGGATCCAGTGAACTTAATTATACTTCGCCTGTGGTTAGTTTTTGATCCTGATCTCAATGGGAACTAAGTGCAATTACATTCAGTTTAATCTCCAATGACTATCATTTATAACTGCCTCATATTAATTACACAATTTTCTCTCCTTCAAATATTTTCTGAAGTTTTCTTTTATGTTCAGAATTTCAAACTTCAACTGTTGAGAAATTCTTTTCTTAATCATTTTTGAGCTGCAACACTAAAGTTAGTGTCTGAGTTGAAAAATCCAGTTTGCAAAACAAAAAACCCAAAACTCTCAACTAGCATGTTCCAAGTATTCTGAATTACAATTCCCACAATCCTTTGCACAACTGCAGCTAGCAACAGAGAAGTCAAAAACACGCAGAAGGCATCAAGTCATCTAGTTCTGCTTAAGAGTACAATACTTTTCCATTTTAATATTTGAAGTGTTTCTTTGATGTACATGCCCATGTCAATGCTCAAGAACCATCTCATACCCTGAGAGCCTGAACATCCTCAACACGTATGACAAACTCGTCCCGCTCTCGGAAGATCCCCTCCCCACCACTCTCCACCTCCTCTTCATCTGTCTCTCCACAAATGGCTGCAGTCTCCTGCTTCTTAGCCAGATGAAGAGGCCGTGTGTCCTCAGGGTCTTCAGGTTCAGGAGATGCTTGTGGTGGTTGTGCTACTGCTGCTGCTGCTGCTGCTGGTAGTGGTGGTGGTGGTAGCTCTTCAAGCATTGGGGGAGGCTCCTTGAGTGAGGGGGCTGGGGAGATGGGTGGGGGTAGTTGCTCCTGCTCGACATCTGCCTCCACTGAAGGAGTAGGGCTAGGGGCTTTCACCTCCACTGGTGGCACATCTGCAAGAGGAAACAAAGTAGAGAACAGAAGTAGGTCATCCTGCAAGGAAATTTATTCTTTGGCTCTGGAACCCCTTTGCATTTGAGGATACATTCTTTTGACGATTGTTTACCAACACATGTTGTAGAGGGCTTAGAATGAAGGAACCAACCTCTTAATAATATCACATATTTATATTACTATGCCTTCGACTTTTCAGGCATCCATGCCTGCATTTAATTCATTTAATTTTTAATTTGCTCAGGTATTTAGTTAGATTTTAACTCTGCTGCCAGGTGCAATTAAATGTAGGGATTTCTCACATGTAACAATAAGCTAGGAATCCTCACCTAATGTAAATAAACTGCAAATTAGTGCACTCAGTTTATTTGCTCCAGTTCTGTTCCTCACTTTAAGCTAGTGGATAAGCAAATTATACAGATACCAGTTTTATATGCCTTGGGTGAATTTAAATAAGCCATAATTTATAAACCAACTAAAAACTCGAATGCAAAATAGGTTTATGAACTCCAGCTTATTTGGGAGCATTTCACCATCACCCCAGGTGGACCTTCAAGCAAATTAATGCTGGTTGTATTTACTTGTTTATATACATTTACTTGTAATGAGAAGACTAAGCTGGAGTAAACAAGCTGAATGCACTGCAACAGCATGCCATCCAATTCAGATTTGTTAGAAATCCCAATTTGTCATTATATCCATCTACTGTACATATGTGTATACATATTTGGAATGAGTAATTTTTTCTTTCTTTTTTAATGCTGTATTTATCTTTGTAATTTTTTTTTTCTTTTTTGGAGTTTGTATTTTAATGTTCTGAATAAAATAACAAATTATTAAAAAATAATGTTCTGAGTTGCCTAGGCTGCATGAGAATAGGCACCCATATTAATCCTAGGAGTACATAAAATAAATTTCTGCACAAGATGCCGTGGCGATTGTACAATGTCCACCAAACACTAGAAATGTTGACAACATTATTAAAAGGAAACATCACATCATAAACACTGTCATGTAATGATAAGAGTCAGAAGTCACAAAAAGGGATACCATGAATCAGAATGGGTGGCCCAGGGACTCACCACTGGGTTCTCCATCTTTACGGTCAGTGGGATCATAGAGCGCTGAGATGGCCGAGGAGATGCTTTTCTGCAGGTCTTGGTTCTTGCTAACAGAATCTTCCTCATCTGATGAGAAGGAGGGCAATGTCTCCAGGTTACGTTTCAGTTCCTCGTCAAGCCGTTTGCAGGGGCTGGTACAACTCATGACGAGCCCGGCTGCATCTCCTTCAGGTCCATCCAAACCACCAGACAGCATTGGTGGCGCCATGCTAAAGGGAGGCGGGGGCTGGGAGGACGTCGCTGATGGTGGGTGGGATGTCTTGGATGGACTGCCTGCAGAAGAGACCACAGGTACCGCTGCACCGGAGACCCCAACTGTCGCTGCCGAGGAGATGGCAGCGGAAGGCAACGTCTGACGCTTGCCTGACTTCAGGAAGTCCAGGAAGGAGGCCATGAACCCTGACTTCATCTCAGGTTGCTTCTCTTCCACCTCCTTAATCTTCTGTTTGATCTTCTCCCTCGTTTGGTTGCTATCCAAGTTGCTCTCTTGGATGGGCTGGTGAGATGGGGTGGGAGCTTCCAACTGACAACCCTCCAAACCTTTGGGGACTGGCAGTTTGATCTGGGGGAAGAAAAGGGTCAGGAATTGAGGGAAGGGAGGAGATGGAGAGCAACGTCCTGCCTAAGTGGTCCCATATGATGCCCTAGAGATCTTGTCGTAAGGGCCCTTTTTTCTTTAATCCTTTTTTTTTTTTTGCTATCACCAGATTTCCTGTGGACCTTCAATCAAATCCATGTATATGCAAATGAAGTGCACTATATACATACCTATTTCTTCTTTGGCTTCCAAAATTGTAAGTTTTTTAAAAAGAATTTGGGAATGTATTTTTCCCAAGCAACTGGGTGGTAGATGGAAAGAGCTTAAGAGTTGGATAGCATTGATTGTGTATTAAAAGAGTAAAGCAAAACAATAGAGCCCTTTGGGCATTATCAATAACTTATATTTAATCATGCTTGGTTCAATTTCGCTTTTGTCCTTTCTCTAGACGTGCCGGCTAAGGAATTCTGGGAAATGAAGGTTGCCAAGTTTGAAAAATTTCTGAGACTAGGCTACATTTAGCATGGCTTCATTCTGTGGAAGTAGTCCTTGACTTACAACAGTTCATTTAGGGACTGTTCAAAGTTACAGAATGACACTGAAAAAAATTGACTTATTACCATTCTTCACACGACCATTGCAGCAAACCCATGGTCATGTGACCAAAATTTGGTTGCTTGGCAACTGACTCGTGTTTATGGTGGTCGCAGTGTCCCCGGGTCATGTGATCCTCTTTTTAAACCTGATAAACGAAGTTAGTGGGGAAGCCAGAGTCACTTAATAACTGTGTTACTAATTTAACAACTGCAGCGATTCACTTAGCAACGGTGGCAAAAAAGATTGTAAAATGGGGCAAAATGCATTAACTGCCTCACTTAGCAACATATATTTGGGGGTTAAACTGTGGTTGTAAGTACATATCTATTTATATATGTAGTTCAAGAGCAAGCCACTGTCTCCTTACTATTGCCGAACTGTTACAGACGGAGACCTGAGGCGGGGCATTTTCTTCTATAGCATTCAGAGACTCTCCTTTCTTTATCAATAGCCTCTTTTCAGTCAGTGGCCCCAAACCATGTTTATTCACGTCTCCTACTAGTTGTTTATTAGGTACTAAAGTTGGTTTTCCTTTTGATTATTTCCAATCTTGCACACTGCTTTAGGGGTGGTTCATAGAAAAGCAGAGGATAAATGTTTTCATAAATAAAACATGAACCCATTACCATTATAATTTTACAGAGAAGCAGAGGCCTCTGAGATATAATCTTTGTTTGCATTAAAGCACAACTAGGGAACCCAGACATTCAGGAATCAAAATAAATTACTGATTTGTTTGCTGGCTGGCTGACTTTGGGCCAATGACTCTCTCTCTCTCAGCCCAAACCACCTCACAGGGTTGTTGTTGTGGGGAAAATAGGAGGAGGAAGGAGTATTAAAAATGTTTGCTTCATTAAAACTTCCTTTTTATCGACCATGTAATCCCTTAATTCGGGGTAGAGGCAGGGCAACTGGATGGAGCAGAGCATTTACTGGCCGGATGCCCTTCCCGATGCTATGCAGGGTTTACAGCACATGTTTTTTCTTTGCGCCCCAGGAGAGAAACATCTGCTGCTACCTAGGATTGAATTCTGAACCTTCCGAGTGGGAGGTGAGCATCTTCAACACTAGGCCACCACGCCACTCTATGTTTGTCACATTAAGCTACTTATAAACTAATAAAGGAGAAATAAAAAATTCTAATAAATAAATGTTTTCAACTTTGCATACTGTTGACAAATCTCTCAAGAAATGACAGCAATACAATACCAGGAAGAAAAGGCACAAACCAGGAAATTGTGGCATGATTCAAACAACCCAGCTGCGTATGAGCCCATAAAATCGTAGACTATCTACTGGAATCCTGGTGCCCTCACACAATCTGGCATCAACTTGCCTCTCCAACTCAATGAATCATAGCAAGTCCCTAGCAGGTGTTCTAAGATTGCCATTACAGCTGTGCCGGATGCCTTCACTATCATGTTATTCCATAGCACTGATCTGTTTCAGCACTGATCTATCATTGTGGTGTCTTAGTGCTCACTGAAACACTGTTGCTGCCAACATAAACAAAGCCGTTGGATGGGGTGGACATGTGTGTATGTGTGTGTGGTGGTGGTGGGGGAGAAACCTCTTTCACCACAGAATAAGAAGTTGGCAAAAGTTAGGCTTAAGTCTCCATTAAATTTTTTTATGGCAACCTTGTTCAGGGTGCCAAAATCCTTAACTCATACTTACCTATCTTTGCAACAATAAAGAGCAGGATAGAAATAAATGAACTCAAGTACTAAACAAAATAAACTACTAATTTACAAACAAACAGATATTTAGCAGTGCAAATTTGTGCAGGTAGCTCAACTTATACCAGTTTGTTTAGTGACTGTGAAGTTAGAACAGCCCTGAAAAAAGTGACTTATGAGCACAGTTGTAGCATCTCCATAGTCATATGATCAAAATTCAGATGCTTGGCAACTGACTCATATTTATGACGGTTGCAGTGTCCCTGTGTCATGTGAACACTCTTTGTGACCATTTGCCAAACAAAGTCAATGAGGAGATTCACAATAACTGTGTTACTAAAACAACTATATTGTTTCGCTTAACTAATTCGCTTAAATTGCCATTTAACTTGTGGCAAGAAAAGTCATAAAATGGGACAAAGTTCACTTAACAATTGCCTTGCTTAGCAACAGAAAATTTGGGTTCAGTTGTGGTCATACGTTGAGGACTACCTGCATCAGTAAAATGATTATATCCCAGGTACACCCTCCACTGAACCTAACCTCTTGTCGTGATTCTTGCCTCCCTTACCCAAAACCCAGCTTTCATGCCAATAGTATCAGAAATACAAGTGCTCCTTGATTTACGACATTAACGGAGCCCATGATTTCCATTCTAAGTCATGAAAATTGTAACTTGGGGCACTCACATGACTGGACTCGATTTTACAACTTTATGGTAAATCCATGTATTCTTATTGCCAAAAAAGCTGTAAACTGACAAAATATCGTAAATTGTGGTCATGTGACTGTGGAACACTGTCACTGGCTGTAAAAGAGAGACAACTGCCAAGCACCCAAAATTCGGTTATGTAACTGGTGTGTGTGCATGTTTGCAGCCACTTGAACTCCAGAACCAGGTTGTTAAGTAGCTGGGGGAGGAAGCCCATTGTAACTTCCAGTGATCACTAAGCATCTGATCATTGAGAACTACCTGTACAAATGTTAATATGATACCAATATGAAAACAACTGTACTAATTCAGTTCCTAAGGAAACACAAGTCCTGAGCTATTATTTACCACCACCGTGGTCATGTACAAACAAACCCTCTGATGCATCACCACAGATAACCTCGGAAACCTAAAATATTTACTCTCTTTTTTAAAATAGCCAGATGCTGTAATTCTGCAACAGAGCACAACCTTTGCTAACGAAAGCTTAGATTTAAAGTCCCATTATCTCCAAGGACAAAGGCTCAGATACAAGTAATATGATAAACTCGCACTTGAGTTGGTCAGGGACAGTGCAACAGATGGATAAACACGAGCTTCCTACATTCCCTTACCGTTGAATTCTCCACTGAAATCTCTTTGTTAAGCCAATGTTCTATTACTGTTCATTCTACCCTGAACTCTTTCCAAAATTTCCTTCTTACCCCAGGCATTGCTAGCCGACAAGCACATCTTGCCTCCTCAGATTCCCATCTTACCTTGAGTGGTTTGAAGGATTCCAAGCCTGTACCTGGCTCAACCCCCTCCTCCCCGACTTTCTTGCCCCTCCCTCTTCCCCGGCCTCGGGGCTTCTTGGTGCCATCATGAGCCACACCGTGGGGAGATTCAGTCAGGGGCCTGATGCGGGGCCTCCCACGGGGACGGGGTGGGCCCTCCCGCTTAGGTTTGGTAGGCTTGCGGCCTCGCCGCTTGGGCCCCTCCATAAGGCTGCTGTTTGGTGGGCAAAAGTCTATGTCGCCCATGGGGCTAAGGCTGGTCCGGTTTGTCCGGCAGCTGGAAATGAGGTCAGGCAGCAGATCAGGAAGGCGGCGGCTATTGAGGCGGATGTCAGCAGGGACATCCTCCTTGTCCTCGTCATCTTCAAATTCATACTCTTGGGCATAGTTTTTTTTGGGAGGCTGGAAAGGTGGTTCCCGTTTTTTCAGCAAATGGAAGGAGGAAGTCTTCAGCAATTTCTTGGGCTTGGAAGAGCAGAAGATCGGTGAGGTCAGGCCTGACTTGGATTCTGAAACAGGAGCTGTCCCATGTTGGCCAGACTGAATCAGTCCCAGTTGTTCTGTGTTGACTGTAGAAGGCAACTCGTGTTTGACTGACACTGTATCTAACCCCAAGTGCTGGCCATCCCCACTTTCCGACTGGCAGTAACTCTGGTAGCTTTGTCCACCAGGCATCATATCGTAGCCTCCCCCTTTCATTCCTTCACCCCTTTCCATGCCCTGCGTGCCATCATCTGGCTTAGGGAACTCATCCGCTGCACAGGGAGGGGGGCCAAACATGTCTTCCATGCCAGGGAAGAAGCTACGATCTTCATCTTGTAACAAAGAGTCTGGGAAGCAGATGGAAGTGAGGGGGACAAACCGTTGCTTGGCTCCTTGAGGACTGGGGCTCTCAAACTGGTCCTTGCCTTCAAGTTGGCCTTGAGGAACTTGCTGAGTGGAGTCGGGGTCCAAAGTGGAGTCAGGAAGGAGATGCTGTTGACTCTGCACTGTCCCACCCTGTCCCAGGTGGGATTCCAAGCTCAGCTCGGGCTCTAAGAAATCCTGGATCTCTTGGGACTGGGAAAGGTTGCCTTGGGGCATCACCTCCATGCCCTCAGACTGCATCCTTTCCGACTGCAGCTGGCCTTGGAGCCGGGGGGACTGCTGCGACTCAAGAAGCTGGGCTTCCATGCTTTGAGAACGAACATGGGCCTGATGGAGGTGGGCTTCCAATGCCTGCATCTGAAGCTGCGGTGAGGGCGCTTCAGCCTGATGCATGCGCTGAGGCTCCATCAGATGGACATCCAACGGGGTGCGAACCTTCCGAGAGTGCATCTGGCTTTGGGTGTGAGTGAGCACCGACTGGAGCAGTTGGGACTGCTGCTGCTGCTGCTGCTGTTGTTGGGAAAGGGAAAGAGAGGGCAAATCGGGAGGGGAGTCCATCATTAGGGTTGCACCCTGCTGGCCAGCCATTAATCCGTGGGACTCCATGGGATGAGGCTGGGAGGCGTGCTCAGGAGTCTTCTGCAAGTAAGAATGGGCCTGAGAGATTTCCTTACTGCTTGTATCCATGTGGCTACTCTGGAGGTGCTGCTCTACTGACTTCTTTATGTCTTGCCCATAAGAGTCTATAGAGCCAGCTTGATGGCTGTAGTGGACCACTGAGGTGGCCAAAGACTCTGGAGTGGAACGCGTGTGGGAGTACTCTTTGGACCTCTCTCCTTTCTTTTTGTCCTTTAAGCTTTGCAAGGACATCTCCAGGCCTTGGTTGTCCAGATTAGAGTTGGTCCGAATCACACTCTGCAGGTGGTAACGCTCTTCAGTCTTGCTCAACTCATAGCCCATCCCTTTCCCTGCCCTCTCCTCACACTCTACCATGCCTTCTGTTGGCACCCTTGGTGGGCTCTGCGACTGCAGCAAGTGTTGGATTAAAAACTCTTCATCTTCAGTTCTCTCAGATGATAGAAGGTCCGAGTCTGCCTTGGCTTTATTGTAAGATGATGCTCTTTCTAACCCACCTTGGGAACCCTGGTAACTTTGTGTGTGAGCTGTCTGCATGAACGAAGGAGACAGTACGGAAGTGAGATATTTCTGGGTCTGGCCAGGCGATGCCACACTCTGGGGCCGGTTAGTGGTAGGTGACTGGAGAGGCCGGATGATTTGGGAAGGACTTGAATCAGGAAGGTTCTGGCCATGGGAGTAGCCGATAGACTGGCTGTGCCCTGGCATAGCTGGAGAATGGCCAGTGCTGTAACTCAACGATGGGCTAGCTGTGGGCATCCCTTGAGAATGAGCTGGTACATAGCTTGGTGTCTGGCTGACTGAAACATGGGGCTCAGCCTGAACACTGTACCCAACAGATGATAAGCCTTGTAGCTGCTCAGGAGAGTAAGTTTGATTCTGACATGTCTGCAGCCCTTGTCCTCCTTGCCCAGCTTGGCCCTGCTGAGCTTGTCCACTGCTGGAATAACTCTGAGCTTTACTCACACTTGTGAGGTCCTGGGCTTGGTTGCTGCTGAAGCCTTGTGAGGCCTGGCTAACCGAAGAGAGATTTTGTGGCTGGCTGACAGAGTAACTCTGCGTTTGGCTCATAGAAAGGAGACTCTGGGGCTGACCAGGAGAATAGGCCTGTGACTGGCTTGCAATGACCGAGCTGGGCTTGGGTGTGGATGAACTGTAGTTGCTTTGGCACTTGGGCGTGGCTGTAGAACGGGGTGGTTGGCGGGAGGCCGAGTAACTCTTCGATTTTGAAGAAGAGGTGGTACCAGAATAGCCTGGAGACTGAATAATGGGACGGTAGCTTTGAGAGGGCTCTTGCCGCGTGGCCTGGGGGGCCTTCTGCTGCTGAGAGCCTTCACTGCTGGCGGGGGACTGCTCGCCAAGGGGACTGCAGGAAAGGCTGGAGCGGTGGGGCATCTGCTGGTAGCTGCCCCCGCAGCTTAGATAATGCTGGAGAGAATGGGCAGCGGGCAGCTGCGGCTGGGCACTGGAAGGTCTCTGATAATGTTTGATCACGCTATCTTGCCGTGGGATGGCCCGCTCAATGGAGGAGGCAGGGGAACTGGAGAAGACTGAAGTGTTGTAGAGCTGGGACGTCTGGTCAGATGGTCCCAGCGAGGATGACAAAAGATTGAACTGGGAGGGGAGGTGGCGGGAAGCTGATTCTTGAGCGCTACGATACGCTGAGCTCTGAGAGGGCAAGCCCGTACCCAATACCGCACTGCCCAGTCTGTCAAAACTGAGGGATGAAGGAACACTGGGCTGAGAAGATTTGATGTGAAGTAGAGGATCATGAGGGGACAATAGGCCATTGGATGTTGGGCTGAAAGTAGCATCCTGGAGTGTCAGCGATGATGTGACTGGAAAGCTGCGCCCGCTGAAAGAGGCTGGATGCTGGTAAGCAGAGAGCGCTGATGAGGAAGGGAAGGTGCCAGAACCTGGGAGGGCCCCTGAGATGAAAAGTTCAGCGGGCGCTGGAGTGTGCATGGCTGTAAAGAAAAAAAATAAATATATTTGTTTAAGTGCTTTGATATGATGTACCAAATTAAAAGCTTATCCACAAAGGCGATCTCAAACTCACAGTACTTACTGGACAGTACTACTCAGGCTAGACAATAATGATGAAGCATAACACACTTAATCTAACTACAAGTTTAATTAATTAAACTGCTGTTTTGTTCCACATGTTACAATCAAAGAAATAATCACGTTATAGCTTAATGTAGTAATCGGATTTATGCAACATAGGAAGATGATGGCTGAATTCCCACATGTGCTGAATCACAAGCTACCTAACCTTGCCTAGCATTCTATGAAATTCACCCACTGCATGCCAAAGAGTTGATAAAGCATATTTCCTAATGCTATGTCATTATAAACATGTTCCCTCATCCCCAAGGCTAATGTTTAGCTAGGACAATTATGAGCAGGCCGATCTTTGTGACAAAGCACAACTTTTCAAGCAGAAGATTCTAAATTTAATTCTGAGCAATGTCTATTAATCTAGGGAGGGGAGGATGCTGGCCTAAAACCTTGGAAGCCTGTAGCCAGCTCAACAGGGCTGGTTTAGTAACAGGCAATCAGGGACCTTCTAGTTTAAAGTAAATGGAGCACAAGTTCTATAAAACTTCTCACTGATAGACTGCCTGGGAATAAGAAAACCCAATCATAAAGAGGGAAACAGATTGCCCTTCCAAGCTAGGTGGATTGACAATCTGCCTTAATGCCTGGCTTTGCCCAACACATTTAAATAAGTGAATTAAAGCAGATGAATTTGCACTCCATGCTAACTAAGGTGAGCTTTAATCTTAGATTTTTAGCAAGATGTGTGAACCCAATCTTTGATTATTTATGCCTTATTATTTAGTTATTAAATATGTATGCCACCCATCTCACTATCCAAATATTCAGCCCATTATGCAAACTAAGCAAATGGTTTAATTCAATAATGCTGAGCAACAGTAATCAGTATTTCACTTAGTTCATTTATTTATTCATTATGAACCTTGCTTCAATTACATTATGGTATATTGTAAGTGATTTATAAAGTGATACATAAATCAACTTCACAGAAGTATCAAGGAAGTGCTATTCCTCAGAAGGACAAGTTACTCCCATCCAAACCTATTATAATAAGGTTTTCTATAAAAATTTGCGCAACTCTGCCTCCAAAGAAAAGACATCCAACAGTTCCTTCGGTGATGCTGACAGAATAAAATAGAATAGAATAACAGAGCTGGAAGGGACCTTGGAGGTCTTCTAGTCCAACCCCCTGCTTAGGCAGGAAACCCCACACCACTTCAGACAAATGGTTATCCAACATCTTTTTAAAAACTTCCAGTGTTGGAGCATTCACAACTTCTGGAGGCAAGTTGTTCCACTGATTAATTGTTCTGTCAGGAAATTTCTCCTTAGTTCTAAGTTGCTTCTCTCCTTGATTAGTTTCCATTCATTGCTTCTTCTCCTGAACTCCAGAGAGAGACATTACCTGTTTGCCAGGATGGAGTTCGGAACTGAGAGAGCAGGGAGGAAGCAGAAGGGCCTGGTTGTGGTGCCCGCGATTCTAGAGCTGAAATGAGGTTCATGACAGAGGCATCGGGGGTGGCACTGCTGGCATGATGGAGCCCAGTCTCGAATAAGCCAGAAAGACCTAAGAAGGAAATGAAAAAAAGAAGAAATAAAGGATGTGAAGTGCTGAGAATCAGTGAAAAGGAGATGATAGATACAGCAAAAGAAAACAGGAAGAGGTTCATCACAGGGGACAGGCAAGGGAGCCTACAAGCTGACAAGCATTATGCCTGTCAGAGGAACTACAGAAAGACAAGACAAACATTAGACATCAAAAGGTACAACTTTAGAATACTTGTTTTAGTGCAGAAGGGAGGGTTGCAATCAGTCAAAAGCCAGGCACACAGAGACAGAAGGGGGAAAAATGAGAAACTATTGATATAATAAAAATTTGGTAAAGAAGAGAGAAGAGTCAGGCAAGCTGAATCGAAGAACGTATGAGGAACTGGGGGAACCCAGGGCTGTGTGACAGAAAAACCAATCCTGGATCTTAAGAGAAGCTGAGGAACTTAGGGCCAAAGGCTCTCTAACTGAGCAGTATGTACCTTTTCACATCTTAAACATAGGGTACAGTTTTGGTTAATCCATGCCAGCTGACAGAGCAGTTTGAGTCAGAGCATTTCATTCAAAGATATACCAGTTGGAAAAAGAACTAAACAGCAGAAAATAGAAATGTCAAAAAAAGTGCCCCTAGATAGAGAACAGAAAAATTAAAGCATGAAAGAAAGAAACTTTTCTAAAGCATGAAAGAAAGAAACTTAAGAAACTTTCCTTAATTTTCCCTATGCCACTGTTCTGGTTGACAGTCCAATCTATGTTCAGGTTAAGAAAAGATATGTTAAGCATATTTAAAATATTAACTTGGTATCTTGGTAATACAGAGATCACCCTTGGAATAAAAGAATAGAAAAGGCAAAATAAATAAAATGAAGCTGAAACAAAAGCAAAATAGCATCAGTGTATCCAGATCAGCACAGAGGGAACATATGAAAAAAGTGAGCAGGAGAGAGAACGAAGAAAAGGCATAGTTAAAAACACTTATTGTTAAGACTTCAAGGAAAATGGTAAGACAGCTACCGTACCTGCTGGGTGATGGTTTGTGGCATAGCCCTGCAGAGGATGGGGAGTGGCATACGCTTGGCGGTGTAAAATATCTGTGTCTGGATGCGAGCTTCGGGATCCGCCGTACACCAAGCTGAATGAGAGAGAAACAAGGCTTCAGGCATGGCAAGAGAGCTGGGATCTTGTAATGTGTGCCACATTCAATATCTCAATGGAACACACTAAAAGAGTTCCTTCAAAGATCAGCAAAAGCAAGCTTGTTTTCCCGCAGATCTGCGAACTGAACCAAGGGGAACAAGGAGAGGCAATCATTCGGGAGGTATTGATTTTGGGCACAAAGGAGCTTCTAGTACCTGTCTATTTCTAACGTTCAGATTCTCCGTTCCTCTATGTCCTCTTTACACCTTAAGCAATTGTAAGCATCACTTCATAAGTGTAACATGGGGTTTATCAATACCTTTACATTTTCAAGATGAACAAAAACCATTATTTTGGCTAAGATAGATTGTGGATGGGTTTTTATTGGGAAATCAGAAATGCATAAATGTATGGTGCAACTTTCTTTCCCTGTTTTTGATGCTCAGAACAAAAACTTGTCCTGGATAGGCTTCTTTGCCGCATATGAGAAATTAACATATGTAGGAAAGAAGACCGGAATATTAATAAACAATGATGTGTGATGGGAAATGTGGTTCCCAATGCCTCAGTATCTGAGCTCTATCATTCCTCCTTCTATTCTCCTTGTGCAGGGAGATCCAACTGCCTAGCCATCGTCAAGCTTATTCTGCTTCCGAGCTCTAGGCACCCTCTAAATTTTCCTGTCTTTAGCTGCAATGCAATCAGCTCATGTCTGCTTTGACTTTTGTACATAACCTTCCATTCTACCAGTCAAATTCCCCTGAATAAATTTCCATATTCCCTCCCCATTTGTGTTATTAAAACAAAAGACCCAAATTTAATTCCTAAATAATTATGCAGTCCACTGATAGAAAATGTTACATCCAGGAAGTCTTGTATCCTCCTCCTTAGATTAAAATACAGATACCCGCTTTTCAGTTTCTAAGGGTTTCTAAAAAATTCCATGGCCTAGCACACCACTTATGGAAACACATACATACCTGTCCCAAAATTCATGGTACAATCTGATAAATCTACTCAAATATTCTATAATATTTTGGAGAAGTAGAAGTAATATTCTACTCAAAAATTCTATTCTATTCTAAAAATATGTGCTCCACTGAGTTCAGTACTCTGTCTGCATATGCAAATATATTAGCTTTCTCCAACCTGATGCCCTCGATTTCTGGGCTGAGAAGACAATTTCCATAATGTCCAACTATAATTTCTTTCTCAAGTTAGGGAAGGCTAAAACAGAGGACTGCAATTGCAGCCAAGCCATTTGGGTAGTCATTTTTTTACACAATCAGGTGGTTTTATATGGGTCCCTCTTTTTAAATATATCTCTTTAAAACAGATAATTTCCCCCAGCTCTTAAAAAATATCTATATAGAAAGTTTCAATCCTATAAATCATGCTATGCTCTTTTCTTCTAGACTCCCTTTGGGAGCTACCTGTGTATATAATTACATGCAATGTCACCGCTCCCATCCTTCAAGCACCAAACCAACCAGACACCGTTACTTATTCTCTGTGTGTTGAGGCATGTGCCACAATTATGCACGTGCCATGCAAGAAATGCAGGAAGAGCCCTGGGACAGGAGAAGCAGCATGGGGAGGTGTAGCTCTCTGTAAAGAGGAACAGAGGCAGGCATGACTTGCAAATGACTTGCTAAAAGTAAGCGGGCCTGTCTCAGGAATGCAACTACCTGCAGGAAATTAAAAACGCAAAAATAAAAACCAAAAGCTTGCACATAGCAGATAAAGTTATAACAGCAGAATGAGTGCGGATGGAGGCCAGCTGAATAAGTCACTCTCTGAACAGGTTGCTGCTGCCTGTAATGTCACTGTGGTGAGACAGTGGACTGCACACAGAAACTGGAAAGGGACATTCTGCAAAGGGTTACAGTAAACAGGAAATAGAGATATTTTCATTCATACGGTGAGACATCAGTTCCTCTCTTGCTACAATGCACTGGATCAATATTGGAATGTAAGGCAGAAGGAGAAAGAATGAAGCAAGAGATGGTTGGAGTACAAGAAATGGGCACATCAGTGTTGGCATCCACTGGAAAACTTTCTATTTCCCATTATTTCTCAAGAGGAAAAATCTAAGTTAACTAAGAGACAAAGCAAGCACCTGAATATTTGGTAGTAAAACAGCAAACAATGAAGACATTTGTTTCAATACCTGACATTCTATTACCAAATAGCGTATTCTGTATCCAGAGGTGTACTGAAGGAAAAACAGGGTTTTATTTCAATTTCTTTGTATTTCAATTTTAATATGTTAAGTGGTTTCTGCAATTGTTATATTTACCTTCAAAGATATCTCTAATGAAATACATCACAATTGTTCCTGATCATAGAATGGGGAAAAAAAACCTCCATTTTTAAAAATAGCTTCATAACACTGCAACCCAGACTTCTGAATCAAATTTCTTCCTGTTGTGCCCTGGCTACAATTCCTGCCATCTTTTGCATCTTTTATACTTAATGTCCCCACTGGTTGGAGATGATGGGAGCTGTAATTCAACACATCTGTAGTAAACCAAATTGGGAAAAAATTTTCCCTAAGCCTTGGAACCTATATACGGAGAATAGATTCACACGAAACAGTAAACTGTAGTGTTTTTTAACTAGAACATGGTTCACACATAATCTTAAACAATACATCATGAATTGCAAACTACAAAACATATTATCACAACACAAGTAACCATACTAAGTTAAATCCAAACAAATTACATTCTAGTTTAATTGTGAGATCAGAATCTTCTCCTACCCCAGACGAACACAAGCGCATTCTGAATTAACATCAACTTTTAACTCTCAGTGTAGGAGATGAAAATGACAGGCACAGTTTACTACCAAGATGGAGAGGCCTATAAATTTTAACACATCATGATAAACATATCTAAGTGCATGTCCCCCAAAAAGCATTGCAATATTCCAAACTAAGGAACTATTAATGCAGTTGAGTGCTTCTTCTATGCTGACTCAAGAGCATATTAACACAAAAAAGTGAACAGAATAGTAACTATTTAATCAGAATTACATATTCTAATCCTGCAAATTTCTTTTTAAAAAATTAAAAAACCACTTGAGGATAACCTTCTCTATCCCTTTCCTAGGGTAATTAAAAGTACCTAAAATTAACTTGGCTTATTCCACTCTTTAAAAAATCTTTCTGTTATGCTTGCTTTCAACATATGAATGGTGACTACTGAGGGTTTAAAAGATGTGGACATTTAAAGAGTAGTTTTTGAAGGTATGCAATCAGTTTCCTGCAGAATTGTGCATCCACAAAAATTAGCCGCAATATGCAAGTAATATAAAAGAAACAAGTTTGACATGTTTTGCAATTTTTCCCCAAGTTCTGGAAAAAAATAAAACAGAGGAAAGTAGGAATGGAGGAAGGAAAGTACCATGGAAACATTCCAGGAGTTAGGCAAAATATTTTATGAGCCTTATTCAAATAATTTTTGATGTCATGAGGACTAGGAACAAATGCACAATCACTTCTGAAAGAAATATGCTTTCCGTATTCTGTTGGCTACGAATAGTCATACTATTTCCCTTGATGCAACAGTCTGCATAAATGAATGCATCAAGTTCTAACAATTGCTAATAAAATAAAGACTATGCAAACCTACATAGGATTCGATAAGCAGATCATAGATGCAAGAAGCAGATGGAATAAGGATTGTAAGCTACAGAGCGATGGGTGAGTGCAGGAAAAAAATGCATGCAGCATCGCAAAGTACAATTGCTGTAGAAAGTATTATCTGGCACACAAGGCAGCCAACCAACGTGATTTCCAGCCTTTCAACATGCAAAGTTATAAGCTAGTAGAGTTTAGGCTTTAGTCTTGTCGCTTGGGCTGCCATGATAATTCATAGTGGATGCAGAATACAGCAACGTAGGATTCTTACCGATATGAAGACGTGCATCAGTTCCTAATAAAATTCTAGCAGTTACTGACAATGACTTGAGAATCAAAGTCTGGGAAGCAGTTGAATAACTTGTCTAGCTTGCTACCATTTCTCTTTATTTTTTAAAACAATTAATAGTATATAAAACATGCAAAATACATGCGAATCTGTATTACTACTTATTTTTGAGTCAATATTTGAATAATCTGTTTGTTTGTTTTTAATTTTACAAAATCCCAGCAACAGACCAATAAGTACAATCTTAGATAGAATACGTGACTCATTAGAACATAGTAGCAGAAAGATCTAACTATGTGATAGCATAGTATACTATGATTTTTAAGGTAAGAAATATTTACTTTTGAGGATCCAACATCTATATACATGCTGGTAAAGCATGCATGCTGACATCAATAACTGTATATCCTAAGAATTTTCAGGAAATTTGGGAAGGAAAGCACGACCCCCTTAAAGGTCAAGCAAAAGATGGAAAAAAATGTAAGACATGAATGAGAATGAGAACCAAGCTAAACTGAGGAAGCCAAATTAATTTTTTTTTAAATCAATAGACTTTAATGATAGCCTTCTCAGCTTCTTCTCACGCCAGTTTTTAAATTAAACTTGCTAAAAGCTGCTCCATAGTTAATTCTGATGCTTAAGATGTACCTTTAATGCTCACACCAAAAAGCGGTGTTCATAAAGTGAAGGAGAGGGAAACATTCTTCTTTCCTCTAAGGTTCTGGATATTTAAATTAGTAAATTTTAGTGCATGGGAGTGAACACAAGTGTTGTAGACTAATGACATTTATTTCCAAGGCTACCTAAAAAACATGTGTTGACCTAACCATAGAAGCAACTTACCTTTAACTCAGAAGTAAAGAGAAAAATATCAATCCTCAAACTCCCTGAAAACGGTGCCCTTTGACCTAACTGCCAACTTTAGACTGATGAGGCCTTGTGGTATAGAAGCAGAAAAAGAGCAAAGACTTGTCAAAATATATATTCTACACATGCTCTGATGCATCTTTTTACATAAAACTTGCCATACAGTCAATACAGAGGGTACTACATCCAACATACACCTCTATTTTCAAAAGTAAGAAAGGTATCTGGATCAAATTCAAGAAAATCACCCACTCCACCCCTTTTGAAAGGCGCCAGCAAAGAGAAGATACGCACAGAACTACAAGCTAGATAGTGAAAGTGTGTGCAGATAGTCCTTGACTTACAATAGTTCATTTAATGACCGTTCAAAGTTATAACGGCACTGTAAAAAAGTGATTTATGACCATTTTTCACACTTATGACCGTTGCAGCATCCTCATGTTCACATGATCAAAATTCGCATGCTTGGCAACTGCTTCATATTTATGACAGTTTCTGTGTCCCAAAATCATGTGATCACGTTTTGCGACCTTCTAACAAGCAAAGTTAGGGAAGCCAGATTCACTTAACAACCGGGTTACTAACTTAACAACTGCAATGATTCACTTAACAACTGTGGCAAGAAAGGTCGTAAAATAGAACTCACTTAAAACTATCTCACATAGCGATATAAATTTTGGGCTCAACTGTGGTTGTACGTTGAGAACTACCTGTATTTTAATGCACGCTAGTCTCCAAAGCCTCACACTTTTTCTATGTCTTCTCTGAATTGCAAATACAATTGTTCAAAACACTCCAGATGTAGCTGTACTGACTGATGGATCACTGCTAGAGCAACCTTGTCCCAGAAGTACAAAAAAAAAAAAAAAAAAAAGGAGGAATATAATTTAAAGAGACCAGTTGAGAAACTAAATGCTTAGAAGTAGGAAGGACTTTTTCTTCAGAAAAGAATTGTAGTAACCAGAGTTAAAGACCAAAATTTGTTTTGAATATACATATTATGATTATGCATATGGCATATGCATATGGTGTTTAGATGGTTTTGCTCCAATTCTCATTTCAGATAGGTGCATTTTAAATTCATGCCCAATACACAGTTAGTGTGGTTGAACTCTGTTCGTAAGCCCAAGGTGTTTGTACTAGCCATCTGCAATCTAAGGTCTCACTTGTTTTGACTCCAGCTTCGGTTCCCAGAAAAACAGAGAGGCCTGATCTGTAGCTCTGTAAACTAAGCCACTAGACCTCACATTGGTTCCATCAGTGCTAGGTCCCAGTTTTCCTTTCATAAAATGCCAAGTTTTTCCTCAAAAAGATTGTCATTATTCCAGACTTTTTCATCATGTCACCTTCCAGATACACAGAGGAATCACAACATCTAGAATTCACAATTACACATCTGAGGCTGAGTGGCTAGCAGTTCTGAATGTTCTGATATCAATACATCTGAAGGGGTCCATGTGATAAATGTTGCACTATGCATTCTACTGGTGCCACAAACTCATTTAAATGTGCATGTACAAAGCCATCTATGCCCAGTACTAGTCTACCAATACTACTAGACCTCTAACCCATCTCACAAATTATTAGCATCATATTGCTACATACATGGATGCTAAAAAAGCAATGAGGCATGGCAGAGGCCTGGTATTCCAGTCAATATATCCCTGTGGTTCACCCACATTTAAATAAAAATTTGTTACTCCTTTCTTATAAAAAATAATACAACACATCACAACATCAACACAATGCATGCAGCCTGAGGGGAAAGAATCAGTTTGTTTTACATTGTGCTTAGGATAGCTGTCCCTGACCTGGCACCCTCCAGATGTATTGGATGGCAACTATTATAATCTCCATTTGTGGTCCAAAACACCTGAAGGGAAGGCTGAACACCATAGCAGGGAAGGCTGACCTAGAATAGAGAACAAGATATATTCATAATAATCTCTTTCAAACATAAAACACAGATTCATATACGATAGTATCACTTAATTCTCTCACCTTTCAGGTGAAGATGCAAATTAGAAATATTTAAAATACTATAGATATTACAAAAACAGCTGAGTATTGGACACTGAGAAACATTCTCATGGAATTTTAAAATGTGATACTGAAGATTTAAGACTTAGCTTATTCAGAAAGCGAACCAGAGTTAATAAGATTCTAAATTCTTGGGTCATCTAGGATGGAAACAAGGATGAACATATGAAAGTAGAGATTCAGATGAGTATATGGGTCCCTACTCAAGTAAATAGGTACTAAGTTAAGAAGTTGCTCTTTGGAAAATCTACAACAACAACAACAACAATTGTGTCTAGCGAACAAAAAAGTATGAAAAAGTCATGTCTGGTCAAAAGAACTTGACCTCTATATGAATAGGGAGATCAGATTTCTATCTTGTGGAAACCTTAACATGTATATAATTTCTTATACATGGAAAGAAGATTCCAGCCACTAAAGTTTAAAATTTTACATCGAAGTCTAAATCTCTCCCTTATTAAACCTATAGGATTTTGGGGACCAACTCTTAACCTTCTATGGCTCTCCTCTGCAAAAGATAAACCATACAAACCACTGTGAACAAGTGTCCCCATTTACAGGAAACATAAAGAGAGAGTTACAGGCCTGCAGCCACTCATTTGTATCTTACCTGATACACACACACACAAGGAATGGGAATACCCAGAGTTCCCAAAGTCAACAATTTCCTTTTCACATTTATCAAGAAAGACTTTCCTGTCACCCTCACCATCTACAAGAGCTGACTTATACTCAGCAGTTTGAAGACTCCTTACCAGAAAAAAAAGGAGCTATCCTTTCCTACTCCCATATATTGGGGGAAAGAGATCATGTTGGAACAAACAGGAGGATACATATGGATAAAGCAGATGCTCCCATGGTTCCAAAATCAGAGAGAGACAGAGAGATTCTCCAAATGTCCACTTTCCTTAGGTACGTGGAAAGAATATTAGTTTTCCAAAATAATGTTGATTCCCCCCCCTCCCAGATTAAGGTTCCTGCCCCAAACCATGAGACCAAAGCTTATTGCTTTGTCTCATATAGAGATAGGCAATGCAATGCAATGTCCTTCATGCCCTAAACAGGACAGGAGAGGTGTCCTCCACGGGCCATCTCGCTAATGAATGCCCCACTAGGGGTAGAAAAAGAGAAACCACAAAGGCATCACACTGCGACTCTCACTCACCCTTCACCTGCAGGGAATCAAAGCACTTTCTCCTGCAGAGCTTACCAGGTTGCTGTGCCGGAGAACTGAGCATCAACCACCTTTTCTTCCTCCTCTGCCCTTTGTACGCGCATTTCTGTCCCATGTCGCTACTGCCCTCGCTTCTACCGGTGCCCAAGGGGCTGCACACCTCAGTCGGGTCCCCCATCCCACCATAGCGCGTAGAGGATCCCGCACGGGCCGCCTCCTCTCCCACCCTTCTCCTCTGCAAAAGGCGACCCTTCCAGTACAGCGACGGCTCCAAGATTGCACCCCGGTGCCATGCAAAGGAGCCGGGTCCCGCCGGCAATGCTTTCCCCGAGAGGTTGCCCGGTTCTGCCCCCCCCCCCCCCCCCCCCCCCCCACACACATCCCACTTCCAGGCCCAGGGAAGGAGGCCTGTGCAGAAGCTGGAAGGAGAGATGGTGCCGTGCTTGATCCCCGCCAAGACCGGTCTCTCCGGCATTGCCCGGGAAAGGGGGGAAGAGATCCCTTTCCCTCCCCTCCACCACCCCCGGCGGCCTGACCTGGCCTTGGCCGAGCGCTCGTAGCTCCATCCCGGGCCGGCGCCCAGCGGATCCCCGAAGCCAGCGCTGGGGTAGTTCCTATCCATGGGGAGTGGGCGCCGGGGAGCGGGCGCTTGAGGCCGGCCGCGGTCCGTCGGTCGGTTCCTCGACTAGTCGGGGAGCTCCTGCTCCTCCCCCCGCGGCGTCGGTCGAGGGGGGGCGATCGGGGAGGAGATCGGGGAGGGCTGTCCCTCCTCCTCCTCCTCCTCCCCCCCTCGGCCGCTGCACTCCCCCACTCGGCCTCGGCTCAAGCCACGGGCTGGCGCTAGCGCTCGGGCGGCTGGAGGAGGAGGAGGCAGCGGCGGCGGTGGCGAGCCTCTGGGAGGCGGCTCATGGTGCAGCCATGTTCGCTGGGCGTCTGTCTGCGCTCCGCTCCGCTTCCTCCCACAATCCCGTGCTGGGGAGAGGAGGAGGAGGAGGAGGAGAGGGGGGAGCGAGTAAGCGATGGAGGATGGAGGGATGGTGGGCAAACGGAGGGACGACAGAAGGGAGGAAGGGAGGAAATACAGGAGAGGGAAAGATGCAGGAAATGGAGTAAGGAGAAGGGAAGAAGGCAACCAAGGGAAGAGGAAGCGAAGGATAAATGGATGGATGGAAGGACGGAAGGAGTGGGCAAGAAGAGGGGGAAAAGACAAAGGCGCGCGCGGAGAGGTAGGGCGGCAGGAATGAGACCAAGTCAACCCGGCAGGACGGAGGAGGAAGGGTGGCTTAGAGGGAAAGGGGAGAGAGAAAGAGATGGGGAGAAGAACAAGGTGGACGAAACGGGAACAGAAGCAATGGAGAAGGCAATGGAGGAAAGGCTACAGAAGCTGGTGGGAACTTTTGTTGAGCAGTGATGCGTGAGATTGTTCCTTCATTCATTCACGTATAAATGGGCGAACTAATACAGAGGTGGACAGATACAGTATTACTGAGCATCGTTGGCAGAATGTCTCTATTGTGGAAACTATTTTGCGGTCCATACTGTGGAATAAACATAGTTTTTTAAAGGGTATTACCGACCCTATCAATATCGGAGAACCCATAGTAACTAAGGAAAGAATCTATATTTTACCATTTAGAATAATACCCTTGCTGCAGAAGAGATGGTTGCATCCCTGAGTGGAAACATTTGTTTTGGCATAACTTTACTTTTTTACTTGTCCTCTGCCCAGGTGTTCAAAGGTATGGGAAAATGGTACACTGGCATTTGTTGGGTGCTTAATTCATTAGGCATGCATTTGTTCAGGAGGTAGCAGGTGATTTCACAGTCTGTAATATTTAGAAGGAAACATCCCTGTGGACAGCTTGAATTTCATATACATATTAAAATGCATTCTTTATGTTTAGAAGATATTTCGTTAATAATGTGTACATGCTCACCCTGAAATATATTCAAGGCCTGCGAAGTAGACTAAGTCATACATTGATAAGCCATAAATTATGAGTGATAAGCCACAATTGCTAGAGTTGCACAATTCAACAAGCCACAAACAAAGCACATTTAGGCTTAGCCCAGCCATAGTACAAGTACAATATCCATGTCCTATGGATTTTAATGCAATCCTGGCTTCTGGATTACAACCATCTAAATTTTATTTCCAAATTAACAAAATCAGATTATGAGACTTACTATAGATTGAGCAAATTCCATGAATCCACTTCCTTTTGAAAAGGAGTCGATGTTAAGGTCCAGAGATTTAAAAACTATGGGCTACAGCTTCAGTTTAAGTGATTTAAAAGATTTTAACCTGAAATAAAATAACTAAAGTTTACCAGAGTTATCTTTTAGCAGAGACTTTAAATAGTTTGGTCCTTTATTTTTTTTACTGGGCCAAAGAACAACTGATTATTTAGGCCTCAGGTAAAAGTGCTCAAGGAAAAAAGGCTCTTGACTGGATACAGTGTTTTGACAATTGTCTACCAAAAGGATGTCCTGGATCACTTATACTGTAACCACAAAGAGTGATTTCATCCATGCTTATTAGCTTTTACACTCATTAGACAGAATTATACAATTAATGTAGAAACATCCACAGCTCGCACCTCATGGTCTATAGTATTTAAATTACTCTTTTGTGCTAGCTCAGATTGTGTGTGTTTAGAGCCCCCTTCAGGCAGGAATTAGCATTGTACAATATCAATTATTTTGATTGGCAAGCAATATGAAGATTCTGGATTGGCCACATAAATACAGATAGTCCTCTATTTACAACAATTCATTTAATTACTATTTGAAGTTACAATGGCACAATCACTTGTGACTATGTTTCACACAGCCGTTGCAGTATCCCCATAGTCACGTGATCAAAATTCAGACGCTTGGGTTGCAGTGTCCTGGGGTCATGTGATCACCCTTTGTGACCTTCTGACAAACAAAGTCAATGAGGAAGCCTGATTCAATCTGCTTACTAACTTAACAACTATAATGATTCATTTAACAGCTGTGACAAGGTTGAAAAATGGGACAAAACTCATTTAACAAATATCTCACTTAAGCAATAGAAATTTTGGGCTCAATTACGGTTATACATGAGAACTACCTGTACTCATTTAGGGGTGGGTTCACACCAGAATGTACAGGGTGGTTGTATGCATGGACATTTCAATAGTCAAATTTATTAGCATAGGGATTAGGGCTGTGGTTTAGGAGTTTTTCCTTCTGCCAATGTTTCTGTAGGACTATTTGCTAATATCAAACAGGGAACCTACCTTCTGGATTCAAATTCATGTACTATGCGCTTCTTCCCAGGTCATCAATGTAAAATGTACTTTTTAGACTGCAGTGGTCAGTGGAATGGCAAGGGATGCACTGCGTCTACATTTAGTTTTCCATTTGTAACTTGAAAATCTTGTTATGTGTCCTTGGCTAGAAAAGGAGGATTTCTTTAAATATCTAATTCACCAAGGTCACCATGAATCCTCTTCTAAAAAGGTCTTGGGAATAGTAGCCCCCTATCTACCATTCCATAGCCTGTGTTTTAAGGTAACATTATTAACTGATACCCATTCAGAGTAAAAATGAATTATAGGAAATTCTTTCCCTTAATCATCCAGGAAATTAGCATGTCTGAAGTTGCTTGTTATTGGAGATGGAGGTTTTCATATATATTGGCTTCATGTGTCAAGATAAACCACAAACAAATCATACAATGACTTAGAACAATGTGTGAGTGTTGTTTCTTTCCTCCAGTTTGTTTTAACAAAACAAACAGAAACACAGACGATCAGAATACGGTAAAAATCAGTGTGAGATTGGATATACTAGTATGCTAATAATAATAAATTAGTTATTTGCTAATAAATGGAACAATAGTTTTCCATATTTCTGATATCTAGTGAATATGCTCCATCACACAAGTTTGAGTCTAAGGGCTGTTCTTGTCCCCTCAATTATCACATCAACATGCTTCACTAATTATCCTTATGCCTTTGTTCTCCTTTCAGTCCACAGCTCGACTAGATTTACCTCATATTTAGGCATTCCAGTTTTAGAGTAGTTATTCCTCTTCTTCCAAAAATTTTGTGAGTGCAGTTTATCACATTTCACTTTTGTAGCTGATGATAATGAATTAGAGCTGAGATTTACCAAACTCTTATTGGACATTGAAGCTGTTTCAAATCCCTTTAGGCATTATCCAATGTGGTTGTTTTACTTGGCTTCTGAAGATATATCTGTCCACATAATGCCTGAGAAGCATTTACTAAAGCCCCTGTCAGAATTTCTGCAGGCTCCTCATATACACAGGTTTAATGTTCTTTTGAAGGATCTCTAGATCTGTGATTAAAAAACAGGAATAGTATTTTCAAAAGAGCACTAATTCTATGCATCACCAATCAGTTTAAATCAGAAAAGAGAGCTGGTTTCTGCCAACTGCACCAGGTACATTACATGCTTTCCACTATTTCAACAAGGTGTTTGGCACAGCAATTACAGGTTTTTTTTAATTTGGTGAGGTGAGCATTGCCACCTTGCTAACACCATAGGCTATTTACAGTTGCTGCTGGCAATGGCCATAGTGCCACATCCTTGAAATTCAATGGACAGAGCTTGTTCTCAAATCACTCCTTCCCACTTTACCTTCCACCTTCTTTCATGCTTGTGCCCTGTCAACCATGCTATTTTGGCACATGAGTTTAGCATTCTTTCAGAAAAGCACTAGATCTCTGTTCAGAAGTAGTCCAAATAATACATAGATGCATATTACTTCTGAAAGGTTGACCCATTTGTTGGGTAACTTGACATGGGTCTAAACTAGCATCTTTCTAAGCATCTTTCTGTGTTCTCCATTCACTATGCATTAAGGAGAGCAATAGGTTATTGCTTTTCCTTGCTGACAAATGTTGCTTGAGGGGGGAGGGAAATTTTGCCAGAGTTATCCATCAGTCTCTTGGGGAAAAAAACTGCACTATTCAGGCAGAATGGCAATCAACCATGGCAACAGGGAAATTTATGCTGGCATACTTATCTATCAGTTCTGACTGAGGAACACCACTTTAATACAACTATCTGGCTGTGGCCTGAAAAATGTAACAGAACTCCAGTACCCCTAGTGGTCTTTTCTGTGTTTAACTTGGTTTTGTTTTGCTGCATTATTTACATTTATGATGAAATAAATCTATTTTTATGCTCTTTGTTTGATTGACACTAATCACTGAATTTTGAGTTATGTGCTGAGGAACTTTAACCTTTGGAGAATACAAGGAGCTAACTACTTCTAAGAGATCATTGCAGAAGTCTCCAACAAGAGTCATGTTGGCTGGAAACTCTTCGAAATACCATTCTAGCATATCTAAAAGGCACGAGTTTGGGGAAGACTTGATCTGTGGTGGCACAGTGGTTAGAGTGCAGTACTGCAGGCTACTTCTGCTGACTGCTAGCTGACTGCAATTTGGCAGTTCAAATCTCACCAGCTCAAGGTTGACTCAGCCTTCCATCCTTCCGAGGTGGATAAAATGAGGACCCAGATTGTTGGGAGCAATATGCTGACTCTGTAAACTGCTTAGAGAGGGCTGTAAAGCACTGTGAAGTGGTATATAAGTCTAAGTGCTATTGTTATTGCTATTTGTTACGTTGAAGTAATCCATACAGCTGAAATGATAATTAGTACCATAAGAATGAAAAAAGAAAAAAAGAATTCAATAAAGCAAAAGTTCTTTGCTGGACAAAACTGAAGGACTTATTTTCTCAGAGATCTATATTTCAGCACAAGCTAAGATCAAACATGGATATGTAGAAAATTCCTTTATCTACGGATATTGGGAAAGGGGGACTTTTAATAGCAGCATATATTTATGTGCCAAACCGTAACAATTGTTATGTGCTATTATGGGGTGGTCCAGTGGCTAAGAGGCTGAGCTTGTTGATCAGA